GATGCATCAACGAAGGGGTCTGCGGACCGAGGGACAATGCTTGCTGACCCTGCTGTGGACCCATGCTGGTAGGACCTCGCCCTGCAGCTGCCGGGCTAAAGAAGTCCGACCTGAAGCCATCTGAAAAGGGAGAGACGATACCGTTCGGAGCATGAGTGAATGGCGCGCCAGAGCCGAGAAAGCCGCCAACTGGGCCATCGGTGCCTTGCTGGCCTGGCACTCCATAGCCACCTGCTTGGCCTTGAGGGCCAGACCCAATGTTGGTGAAAGAACCGTGCACGGATGGCCTCGAATAGCCGCTGCCATCCTTGTCCGGAGAGGTGCGATTGCCTTCGTAGTTCGGCTGCGGACCTTGCAGCGCATGAATACCACTCGGACCGAAGCCGGCTTGCCCGTCTGCTAGGCCTCCCGTATTGGCTAGCACTGGGCGCTGCTTGGTGTGCAGATTCTTCTTGGCCATTTCAGTCTTCAGTACGCAGCCGCGCTCAGCGTCGATCTTGCGCCCATTCAGCGCATCACGAGCTTCGAGAGCTTCGGCACGCGTGCGAAACTTGGCAAATCCAATGATCTGTTTGATCTTCGCTGCTGATCCTCCATTCTGACCTCCTTGGCCAGCATTAGCGATGCCTTGCAGCGCGTTGGACAAGCTTCCCATGTTGGACAGCGAGGACATGCCGTCGCCTGCGCCTACACGCGAAAGAGCGAGTGACAAATTGTGATCGTCCCACCCGCCAGGTGGTCCAGGACCAACGAGATCGTATAGACCTGCGCCTTGCAAGTTGACCGGATTGTAAGGTCCTCCTGGTCCGGTGAGATTGGAGGCGCCAACCTCACCAGGTCGTCCTGGCAGCCCGCCAGTGCCAGCTGCATTCTGACCACTCGAAGGAATCTTCAGAGTAGAAGCTTCGAAGCCCTTGGCGAACGTAAAGATGTTGGCAAATTCTCGCTCGGTCATGTCGTCCGGAAAGCCAACGATGAACACCGTGGTAATCTCTTCCGGTCCACTGGACGCGCCAGGTTGCAAGAGAGGTCCGCC